GGAAACTGCTGTCTGAACCCACGGGTAGGAGAGAGTAGCTCCGGGAGGTAGGACAGAAGGTAAGCCAGATGGTTGCGAGTGAAAGAAGGCTTCCTCTCTTTGTGTTGCCCCAAGGCGATTTTTAGAGGGAGCATGATTCAGGAGTGCTTTGAATGTTGGAAGGGAAGAAGGTACACACCTGTCAACCAATGAAAAACTAGTATCCAGAATGTGAGCTATCAAAACATGAAGTCCTGGTCTCAGTCAAATGGGGTAGAAGGGCAAACATGTGGCAAGGAGCTTAGGCATCTCAGTGTCAACAGTGTCCACTAGTAGAATAAGGTCCCCAAAGAAGAATGAGGGTGTGAGAGAGCATTCTGGTAGGGGCCACAGTGTTAGGTGAAATACTGAATACGCGTTCTGCAGGTGTGGTTCCTGGGCTGGTAGAATCAGTATCCTGTTAGAAATACATGTTCTCGGGCGCCTGGGTGGCTCAGTTGGTTGAGCGACTGCCTTCGGCTCAGGTCATGATCCTGGAGTTCCAGGATCGAGTCCCACATCGGGCTCCCTGCTCGGCAGGGAGTCTGCTTCTCCCTCTGACCCTCCCCCCTCTCATGCTCTCTGTCTCTCATTCTCTCTCTTGCAAATAAATAAAATCTTAAAAAAAAAAAAAAAAAGTATGTGCTGTGGTTCTAGAGGTACCAAATCATTTTTTCATTTCTTGGAGGAAAAAAGTCTAACTTTTGAAGGAGATTTCATTTGTAAAATTGACTCTTTACTTAATAAGCATGTTTAAATTCATTGGTGATAAATATGCATGTTGGTATAGTAAAATCCCATTTTTTACATAATGCTTTAATGGAAATGGCAGTTTTATGAAATGAAAGTGACTAGTAAAAATCTGAATGATGCTCATAAGCCCTTACATCATTTTTATTGAGGTTTTTGTATATTCTAATTCATTAATACAGGGAAAAAGGAGGGCACTAACATGGTTTATTTCCTATAATTACTCAAATCGAGTATAATTTATTTTCAATAAAATTCTTAGAGTACACTGCCCAGGGTGGGGAGAAGAGGGCTGGCCTGTTTTTACAAAATGTCTAGGTTTTTACTCATGAGACTTTGCTGTTTTAACAATGTTGTTCACTTGCGTGTATTTTCAGTATAGTTCCCTCTAGATTTTTACAAATAAAAACCTATGTAAGTGCAAGAAATCCCAAACACTTAAAGGCCCAGGATTGAGTGTTGAAGGAGAAATCTGGATTATTTATTTATCCTACTTAATACTACAAATATTGTTTGTCTTTTAATAAATTAGACTACCTTTTATGTGATTTATAATGTGAAACATTATTTATATTACTGTGTAATAAATTAACTGGAGGGAATTTCCAAAAACCACTTAGTGTTTACAGTTAAATTTGGTTTATTTTTGTGGAATACCTAGAAGAAAAGGTCAGTGTAAGGGATAAACAAATACTTAAATTTTGGTGCGCCCCTACCCCCAACTTCTTGAGGTAGGGCAAGGAGGAAGAAACACTACAAACTGAGTTGGAAACAAGTAAATATTCTTAATTTCATCACAGTGAAATCTTGCCAACAACCCTATTTTCTGCTCAGTATACTTCAGACCACCATAGGAAAATCTGTAATTTTTTTGGATGTAATTGTGGGCCATTACGAATTCTTGGCATTGTCATCTGAAGATGCTTCCATGTTCTTGAGACAGAATTTTGTTGAAACTAACAACTTTAAGTTTATATCTGGAAAACGTTAAGGCCTGATAGTTTCATAAATCACCATCAGATTGTCAGTACCCTCCCTCCCAGCCCCGCCCCCGGGGTTTATATTTGAAAGCTCATTCCTTTTCAGGTGTCTCTTTGTGTAGACACACAGCTTGTCTGTTTTCTTCTCCTTTGCCCTAGCATTGTGAGCTGTTTGAGCTGGAGCTATGCTTATGTGAGTTCTTGTGATTGGCAGTTCTTCTGTAAAGGCCAGGAATGTGGACATGCGTGGTGTGTATGTCATTTGTTCATGCATGAGTGTGTGTGTGCGTGTTTAATTGCTGTCTTTGACTCCAGAAAATCAGAGTTGTGTTTAGCTGTTCTTTTTTCGTTTTACCACTGCTGAAGTGATCTCCACTCTTAAGCAAGCAGAGAGTCTTTTGGGGGGATAAGTCAGATTGTGTGCTTTGTGGAGAGTGGAAAAGGGTAGAGGCGCGGAGAGCTGCTGCCTCCATAATCCCCTAAACACGTCTCAGCACCAGGGATACTGTTTCTCCCTTGATGCCCAAAACTTGATACAAGGACGGAGAGTTGTCAGCATGGGGCTCTTCCTCATTGTAGCTGAAAGTCTTCTTAGGCCACAGAGTACCTGCCCTCTTGGGTAAGCTTTTGGTTCTCAGTAAGGAGATGACTTTGAGTGTAGTGAGAGGGTTGTTTGTGATGGGCGTCAGTAGGTGAGATGCACTGCCGAAGATGCTTTTACCCGTGTCTGGCCACAACTGCACCTACAAAATGCCTGAGCCTCCAGAGGGCCAAAGGCAGGGCTTTTTAGAAAGATAATCCAATGGAAACATTCTCTTTAGGCATGTCATTCTTGAAGGTGCCATTGCCCATGGAATGAGAATAAATTCTAGTGTAAGTAACTTAAAACCGTCAGTGACCCAGTAGTACAGTTGATTCTGCTATAATGCAATGTATGCATTCCTAAAAATCGCCATACCACATAAAATAGCAGGATAAACGCTGTAGGACTTACAAGAGGGAAATGAGGTTAAGTCCACAATGTTCAAAAACTTTGTTGGTCATATACACACACACAGACAGGAGCCTAATCATGGTTTTACACACGTTAAATCGGTAGGAAATACGGTATTGTATTTCAGTAAACATGGCACTTCACCTTGAAGAAGACATGAAGTTTGCCTGTGGAGGTGGCATCGGGATAGTTGTAGTTTGTGAGTCACTGTCCAGTGGAGGAAGGAGGGAGATGGTGACTGTGGGTGTGGGTGGTTGTGGCTGCCAACCCACAGGTGAGCTGAGGTAGCTGATAGGGGTGGTGGTGTGTGTAGGGGGTGTATTTTGTGTATTTCTAGGCAGCTTGGTTCAGCTGGATGCACTTTTCTGTGTTCATCTAGCATTTCTTGTAGACAAAATCATGCATAAGCAAATGTGAAATTTGTTTTATGCTCAGATTGTCCCTCTAATATGCACATCAATCACAGTGGAACAAATTCACGATTTCAAACTAAGCTTTATGGCAGAACTGGCTATAGTTTATTTGATTTTGGAACTGAGTCCCTTTTCCTTTCTTCCTTTCCATCATTATTGATTTCTTAATTTATATTTAAGTTAAGCCCATATCAAATTGATTTTTTATACCCTGAGTGCTTCTGAAGGAGAGAAAGTAGCCTGAGATTTTAATTTTGCTAGTGCTTATCCACCTGGTAGTTTCCTCCTTGGCGAATATCTTTGCCTGCCTGCCTGTCTGTCTGTCTGTTGTCTATCGTCCATCTAGATACACACACACTGAGACCTTTACTAGATGCTTGGAGGTACAGAATGTATTCTGTATTCTGGAGATACAGAAACTGGTAAGGTATCGTCCTTATCTTAAGGAGCTTAGAGTCTCATTGAAAATTTTTCAAGGCACAGATTTGAATGTCTTTTTTGGGTTTCCTTAGGGAACGGATGAACCAACATTATTTATTTCTTGGTTTGTGAACATAGGAGCACACAGACCTTCCCACCCCGCCTCCTACTTCTTTGTAAATGTAGAGATAGGAGTAAAGAGCTTGTGTGGAGGAAACTCAGAGATACCATTGATTTACATGGTGAAAAGATGTCAATTTGAAAAGAGGTTGAAAAGGACTTAGGAGGTCTTGTAGTCAACCCTCCCACTGACTCCTTAATAAACCTAGTGGTCAGGTATCCACGGTAGAGCAGTAAATGGAAAAAAAGCAAGTTTCAGAGTAACGTGACTAGTATGATCCCTCTTGTTGTCCCCCTCCCGGTACATGTGTGTACGTGCTGTTTGTATAAGCACAGATGATGTGAGAAGATCTCCTGTAGTAGTCACCTCAGGGGACAAGGGAAAGCTTATTAACTTCCTCTTTATACATCTCTTATTGTTTGGCTTGTTTTAAGAAGCATGTTTTACTTTTTTAATTAAAAAATCTAATAAAGTAGAAAATGAATAAATAATAATAATAAAAAATACCCTCCGGGCCCTGAGCTTTGTTTTCATCTTCTCAGTAGCCTGCGTAGTTATAAAACTGAACATGACGTTCCAGGTGTGGGCTGCCTAGCAGGACTCCGACCTTACTGTAGTTAACGCTGTATTGGGGGGGGGGGGCGGTTCTGTGTTTATAGACCATTAACACCTTAAAGTCTTTTTTACACCTGCTACCCTTGGCACACTCTGCCCTTGGTAATTGTGGGACCCAAGTTTAATCCTTCAGATTCTGTTAGAGGTCATCTTATTGTGGATATCAGAATTTAACATAGGTTAAGAACTGGTCTTGGATTGGATTCAGGCTGCCTGGTTCAGATCCTAACTACCTACCACTAACTAGCATGAACACTGAGACAAGAAACGCATATTCCTGAGCCTCCGTTGTCGTCATCGTCTTCTTTTTTTTTTGTGGGCAGCAAAGCAAAGTTTATTGAGCGATAGTCTAAAGCTCCAGGAGAGGGAGGACCTGAGAGGGTTGCCCGAGCCTCTGTTTTCTTATCGGTAAAACGACAATAACCATAAAGTTGTGAGGTTTCAAGGAGAGCCTGATGTTAGAACGCTTACCTAGATTGCCTGGTAGTGTGATGAGAACGTGGTGAATTTCAGATGCTGCTGTTAGTGTGTTAACATCCGTTCCTTTCTCCCATCCGTGATAGTGAGCTAGTTTTGGATCTTGAATCTTCCCTTAACTATATACCATATCCCTCCCGACCCCAGAACATAAATCAGTCTTCTAAACTTTCCTCACAAGGTCTCCAATCAGTCTCTGCCTCATTCCACAGGTCCCTTCACTGATGTCGTCACCACCAACCTAAAGCTTGGCAACCCAACAGACCGAAATGTGTGTTTTAAAGTGAAGACCACAGCACCACGTAGATACTGCGTGAGGCCCAACAGTGGGATCATCGATGCAGGGGCCTCGATTAATGTATCTGGTAAGTCCGGAGACTGGAGGCCAACGGGGGGGCTAAAAAGTCCCCCTAAAGCCAGTAGGATTTCTTAAAGTTTGCATTTGGTATAGCAATATAAGACAATAGACTTCTCCCTGAACCCGCCACCCTCTGATTGAAAAGCTTAGTGGGTCCCACTCACCTATTGGTTTTCCATAATTAAAGCCTCTTTGGTTTAATGCTTACAGCCTTCTGTGCCTTAATAGTTACAGCAAAAGTAAAGTGGTAACTTTAGACTTTACTTCAGAATGAGTTTGGTTTTCACTCCCTTGAAATTAAATCTGCCCTTTGGCAATAAATAAAAAAGGGCTAAACAAACTTAATTTTACTTTGTGGGAGAATGCTAAATAGAGTTATTTTCTTATTTAAGCTAAATGGTTTCTGACATTAGGCTTTTGTCATTCCCAATGATTGGTAACTGCACTTTACTGATCGTGAAAAGCTCAGGGAGGTGAGGACTGAGGAGACTGGACTATATCCAAGGGCGAAAGTTTTGTGCGTGTCTGATGGGTTTTTCCCTTACGGTCTGAGAATGCATATATTTTCCAAAGTCCAGCTTTTGAAAAGACGCTGGTAGAGTGCCCAGATTGAGAATTGGATTTTAGAATTAAGGAGATGTAAGTGATGGGTTTGAGTTTAAATGTCTTTTAGAAATGGAATAAACTTTCAGCTTATTAGAACTTCTGGATCCAAGATGCCTTTTGTATTTGTGGAGGAGCTGTGGGGGAGTGTGTGTTTATCCTGTAAAAATCAGGAGACTTTGTGTCACAGAGGGTTCTGCATCATTAGAAGCTACTACTCATTGAGATGGGTACTTGACTGGCTTTTTCCATGACAGATTTTGATTGTGATGCATTTGGCTATTCATTTGACACCTAAAAGAAAATGATTCACCTCTTTGGAAAGATATAAGGTGTTTCATTATCTGATCATTTCTGTAAACTCTTATTCCCCACATCCATTGGTTTCTCTCATTATGGTGCTCCCACACCAGCTATCCCCCTGTGTGCTTCTCTCTGAGGCTGCAAGACCTGATCTGGACACTTGAATTGGGTTGTTATTCAGGAAGTCAGAAGGGTGAGAGCCAAATTTTATTGAGGGTCTCCTTTGTGCTGGGCCAGCACACACATTATCTCATATAATTTCTGTTATTTGGCCTGTGAGGAATGCATCATTACCTGCCTTGTACTAAGAAGGAGACCGGTGGCTGTAGGCTCACGAACCTAGCAAGTGACACAGCCAAGATGTGGATCACTGTGTCTGGCTCCGAAGCCCAGACTAAAGTGCAGCGTGCTGGGGAAGGGAAAGGGTCTGAGCTGTTGGCATTTCTGTACCCCTTGGATCCATATGGTTTCAGTTTTTCTGCTGAAATCTTTATTCCCTTTTATTGACTTTGGTTTTCCTCTTGATTTCTTTGCCCATATCAAATTTGAGCAAGGTTGTCAGTAGATGAGAATTACAAATTTTCAGGGTAAATAAGGGGGCAGCAACATAGTTTCGGAATAAAATAGTCTCAACAGGCAGTTGTACAGTGTAGGTGTGCTTTCCAGTATGAAATATAAATGTGTGTATGTCTCTTTCAGAAAGACTCATCCCTCCCCCAATCATAGGAATGGTTGTTTTGTTTTTTGTTTTTTGTTTTTAAGATTTTATTTATTCATTTCTTAGAGCACGGGAACTGGGAGGGGAGGGGGGGAGAGAGAATCTGAAGCAGACTCCGTGTTGAGCATGGAGCCTGATGTGGGGCTCGATCTCATGACCCTGAGATCATGACCTGAGCTGAAACCAAGACTCAGATGCTTAACTGACGGAGCCACTCAAGTGCCCCTATTTTTATTTTTTTTAATTAAAAAAAATTTTTTTGGAATGTTTTTTAAGGTAATAACCCTGGGCATTTGTTTTGATTTATAATTCCCTGCTTAAGGAAGACTGAAGATTTTGTGGTTGTGGCCTTTCTTTTGCAGATAAGAACGGAAGGTACAGAGAATGGGTGTGATTATCTAGGGCCACATGGGTGACTAGTGGCAGAGCTGGTACTTGAAACCAGCTTTGCTCCTGACTCGGTGGCTCTTCTGTGATATGAAGCTGCCTCAACAGTGTTAGGGGGTGGCCCCACTTACAAATGAATATAAAATTTTACATAAAGTACCATGATTCTCAAAATGTAATGTACTTGGGGGAAAGTAATTGAATAATAAAGTGCCCGTGTGTCTACAGGCCTGACTCCTAGATGAAACAAGATTATGTTTGCACATGAGAAGGGCTCCCTTGTTATTATTTGGTGTGTATTTTTCGCACTGCTTGAGGTGCACCTGGGTGAAGCCAGGTGTCGCTGCATTTCTGGGACAGCATCTTCAGTTGGCAGAGGATGCTGGCACCCATCTGCTGCCGTTTTCTGTGCTGAGGGACCAGTGTATAATGTTTTAGACATTCGTATCTCAAGGTAAAAAGCACTGAGCTTTTTAAGGTCCTCTTAAGATGCAGCTATATGATGACATCTTGGTGAGTACGTAGAGTTTCTAGGTTCCTTTGGGAGAGAAGATACCCTCAGGACATGAAGGATACCAGCAGAAGGCAGTGCAGATTGTCCACAGGCCAGGTGTACACATGGCCCCGTTTGGTGTTAACCCACTCTCCTCCGAGATCGCTAGATTTGAGGTCTGGGAACCTGAGCAGAAAGCTTAGTTGTGCTGTTTAACCTGTTGGCCGATCTTTGTCCAATCTATTAATGTCTCTAGGTTCTAGTTTTCTCATTTGTAAAATGGAAGGAATAGTATCTGCCTCACAGAGTACTTTCCAGTGCTGTGTTAACTGAACACATGGCGCAAGAGTGGGATTGTGTTATCTTCCCCACTAGCTTTGATAAAAACTGTTTTTGTTGAACGTGGATTGTACATACTTGAATTGCCTTTTTAGAAATAAATTAATTCCATTTTATTATTTGACTTTTTCTAATTTTAAGAAGTGTGTATTTTTTCTTTCTATGATATGCATTTGTTTTCTAGTGAAAAACCACTGGTGAATTTTCAAATATAATCTATAAAAAGGTGGCCATCAAATCAACTTAAAATACTACCAGCAGGGCCCTGTCTACCACACAGAATGTCGGCATACCCGCAAATGACATGCCTAGTGCATTATTTCTCTCCCATTTCTGAAAACCCTTGGGATGTGCTAGCTATTAGGGGAGGTTATAAATCATTCTTTGAGAGAGGGGGGCAGGGAGGGAAAGAAAGAGAAGGAGGAGTAGGAGATCCACCCACATAGCTGGCCAGAGGCCTGAGGTTCTGAAGGCACACAGATCAGGGTTGTATGGGGGGCACGAGGGGAGACTTTGTAGCTATTAGGTACCTTTCTGACACACCCTGTGAAACTCTTCTTAGCTTTTAGGTAGGCTTGATATATTTAAGGGAGCTTAAATTGTGTGTCAAAAGTCCAGACTCTGACCTATCATGTTACTTTCTCCAGAAGGTGGCAAATTACTTATTGAGTCCTTAAAAAATAACAGCTCTGTTTTAAAAACTTCGGTGGTAAAGTAATGGTTGGAAACAGGCATAACCTAGACTTTTTGTGTCTGTAGGTGAAAATGTGTGGATTTCCCAAAGGGATGGTTTGAGGTCTGGTCACCTGGGTCTAGAATGGGAGTCCTTTTCTTTGTCCTTTATGTAGGTGCTCATTTCATCTCATCTCATTCTTCCAGTAGCCCCTTCTGTGGTTTGTGTCTGTTGGATGAGGCAGTGTAGTAGGTGAGGGGGTGCAGAGTGCTTTCTGTTTGCATTAATTGGCCCAGAATGCCATGGTTTTGGCCCTTGCTCCTTGATACACACCATCTACTAGAGATGGTTTTGAATTATTCAAATCTGGACCTCAGCAAAATAGCTACACTTAAATGGAGATTGGAGAAGCGGAGATTGGATTTTTCCCCCCCTGAGATTTTAAATGCAAGGAAAATAGAACTTTTTGAATTAATGAATTGTTTGAAGCAGTGGGGGGTCTCCCCATTTGTTCTAGCTTTACAAAATTAAATCGATTTTCTGAACTGTCTGGTGGGAAAATATTTTTAAGGTAGATAATTTCTGAAAATGTCTTTGTGGTAAGCTGTTAGTGGTTGTGGATTTTTTTTTTTTAATACTGCAGTTTAATAATGAGGGAGTTTTCCATTAATATTCCAAACCATGTTTGCCAGCGGATACAGCAGGTGAAGTGGTAAAATTATGGGCCCATCAAAAATACTTATGCTTCCTGTAATATGATATTAAGTTTAATATTTTTATAACCTTCACTGAATTCTAATTTCACTAAAGTAGCAAGCATGCTTCCATTTGCAGTTCAATTATGCACATTGGTTGCCTTTGTACCAAGCAAATTAGAAATGCAAAATATCTGTATGTGGGGGGGGGCATTGGAAAGAGTCATTAAAGATACCAATATTTGGGTACAGATACACTTTACTAAGTGAACCCTGGGAATTGAAAATGGATTAAAGACAAACAAACACAAATCTACTAGTGTCTGAATCAGTATTTTAAATTAAAATTCAAAGAATTAAGGAGCAATGTTCACTTCTGACACACAATCCTTTCCAGCACTCCTTTCAATCACATGTTAAAGCATAAAGTTCTTCCAGTAAAATCCTGAGGACAGAGAATTCATATCAGCAGCTCTTCTTGGATGGAAACATTGGTCAATTAATGTAATTGGGTAGTATTGCAATTGATAATTAATCCTTTTAAGATTTTGCTGACTCAGTTTAATGGAGCTGCTTGCCTGCCCTGGACCAGTCAACCTTGGGCTATAGCTTTTAGGTGATTAGCACCAGCGTATAAGTGCACTGCCCTTAGAGAAAGAAGCCAGGCATTCATCTGTCAAGTGCTGATAGCAGAAGCTAAATTTGGGGGGTTTGGGCATCTTAACAGCAACATTCTTCTTTGTTTGATCATTTGCTTTGGAAGCTTCTGATAAGCAAAACCTTTTTATAAATGGTT